AGTGGATTCCTATTCTTGATGGTGATTATGTTGAATCCTTGATATTTGACACACATTTGCAATGATTCATCTTTTTTCTTCATAAATAAAATTAGAGATCTTGTTGGAATATTGGAATGGTGTATGAAGTTCTTAGCTAAATTGATTGCTATTTATATAGGAAAGATTTTATAAGTAACATTTTTTGAAGACAATCGATGACCATCTATGACTTCTACATGAACAGGTTTAGTTTTTTTTTTTTTTTAATTAAAAATATGCTATGTCTTTTAGTAAATTTTTTATCAAAAAAACATACTAAGGCTCCTGAATCTAAGAAAGAAGAGGCTTTATAATATTTAGGTCCTAAAATAACATTTATTGCAAAACAAAGAGAGGATTTTGATGAAAAAATAGGACCTTCATTAGATGTTGTATAAGATTTCAGTTGCATGGTTCCTATTATACCTAAACAAACTTATTTTTCAATATACTACTTCTTTGATTATTATATTTTTTATTTTGTGGTTGCATTTCTTCTTTGAACAATGTTAAGTAGTGTACTTAGATTCTTTGCAATACAAGCACAATCCTTCTTGATGACTATGAGCCTTTTCTTGTTCAATAAGAGGTTTGAAACATATCGCATCAATTTGCATATTATCTACTTTCAAATATGTGTGTTGAAAAGATATTAGCATTATCATTGAATTATAATAACATTCAAGTACACTTACGCGACTTTTAGATTGAAATTCAAAAAGCCAATTATCACATCTTATAACAAAGTCAATTGTTTAATTGAATGTTTGAAGATGAAGTAAGTTGAGCATTAATTTTTTTACCTCATATTATAATCCGTAGAAAAATTGGTTAAGAAGTGTAGAACCATCATAATTAATATCAATTACAAGTTGTCAAAATTATGAAGCATATAATGTTACTAATCAATTTTCTTATTACAAAATATTGATCTTATTAGTTGCAATATGAATTGCATCATTTATTCCATATGTTGATCAAAATTTTGCTAAAAAAGTCTCTAGATTATTCAATATTGGATCTTTTTGTTTAAGAAAAGATAAAAATCATGATAATATTGAATCTAAAAGGAGTGTAACAATGAATCTAACTTGCGATCTTAGAGTTAAATAGCTTTAGAGTTGAAGTTTAATCAGAAATTGTACTTGATTTATAAATCCTCAAAACTTAGATCTCATACCATCAAACTTTTTAAATACTGCAATCCTTGGTTTTCTAATATTGGAAGGATGTTCCAGCATAGGAGAAGGGACATGATTTGGTGCAGATGTTGAAGTAGCTCCAATCATCTCTACAACTTTGCTCCCTATCATTCTTCTTACTCTATGTGGTGGTAAATTGAGTTGATGCATTGTAAGTATTAACTCTCTGAATTGTTCTTGTATTTGTGTCATTACACTTTTTATTTTAAAAAGCTTTTTTATAATAACACTTAAAGAAGAGAAGATGTCTAATATCACTTAAGACAAATAGAAGAGAATATTTGAAAAAAAAAAATACTAAAAACATTATCAATTTAGAAGAAATTAATCTCAAATCATAATATACTTAAGTCTTATCAAGAAAAGATAAAGTTCTAATATTATAAGCATACTCTTGTCAATTTATCAAAGATAAGAACTTCATAAAAGTAAATAAATAAATGAGACTTTCTCAAAGAAATACAACAAAATAAAAATAGAGAAGTATGTATATTAAAAAAGAAATTGGAATGGCTATTACGAAAAGACAAGAAAACTTGAGACTCTTGAAATTAGATTAGAAGCAAAAAAAAAGTTGATAAGAGTGAATAAGGCTTCACTCTTGCTTTTATTTATACTATCTACCTAAGATCTATGTGGCAATGTTCTCTAGGACCTCCAAAAATTTGTTAACTTTGTATGAGACATATCTTAACTTGTAAGGCAAGTTTTTTATATGGGCGCCATATAATTAGCTTGTTCTATAAACTACCTATTAGGGACCATAGACAAGACAAGGATTCAATACTAAGAAATGGAATTAATTCGACATTAAAACAACAACTAGATACAAAGCAAGAAGGTCTTAGTTAGACCACAAGAAGTAAATTGTCGAGATTGAGGATTCCCTCAGCCTAAACTCCTATATATACTAGATCCTAGGAAGCTTCTTGAGAAGTTTCTATGAGGCTTGAGAACAAAGTAAACCTAAGATCCTTCTTCAACAACTTCCTAAATCATCTAAAGCCTCTTAGAACCTTCAAGGGCCTCCTATGACATTCTAAAACTTTTTTAGAATCTATTGGAACCTTCCAAAATCTTTTGGAACCTCCTCAAACCTTCAAGAGCCTTCTTAGAACCTATTGGTATTTTTTAGAACCTTCTAGAATCTTCTGGAACCTCTTAGAATCTTCTAGAATCTTCTTCACTTATATGTCTATAATATTACCAATACATGTGATACATGGTTACCTTGTTCTACAAGCTATCAATACATGTGATACATGGTTAGCTTGTTGACCAAGTTTCTAACCTACCAATCAATTATAAATACATATAAAATCAAAATAACATTTAGAAAGCTTCTAAAAAACTTCTCTAGAAGGTATTATAAAATTAATTTATTTTTATCTTCTTTTATCTATTTATATTACCTAGATAATAATTATAGTAGATATACATCTATGATATATCATTTATATGGTAATAAAGAAAGAATTTACTATAAGAATCCATCCACATCGAAGATATCATGTCTTTTGATAAAATCAATTGTGAGATTAGACCAAGAGGTTGCTTTTAGAATCTCTTTTGCCATAAATATTGAATAAAATTTAAATGCTTCTTTGACAATGATCTGAAAGAGCATAGATAATAAAGATAGGTACATCCTATAAAAATACTTATTAGTGCTCTAATTTACTTTGATCTTTTCTTTATTCTATGACTGTCATTTCTCACTTAAATCTCATATACATTTGAATCATTACTTACTACCTTTGCTTGTGAAGAAAAGTGGATGCATGGTATTCATCATCATAATAATAAATGCATTGCACAAGTTGATAAGTCTTAGTATAGATGAAAATCTACGTCTTTGAAAGATATCAAATAAGGATTGCTTAAAAACCATGGTATATCAAGCCTGTTCTATACTCCTAAAGAAGTGAAATGCAAATCTCTTGTAATTCAATATAGAAGTAGATGTTTGGCCATCTCGACATCTGCTAACACAACTCCTCCTTCAAAGTCCATCCTAATAAAAAAAAACCTATACTTTCTTTCAGATTAAGAGTATTCTTGATTTTTTTTGCAAATTCATAAAGCTTCTTCTCTAAAATTTCAAAGCTTGCAATATGCCTTGATTTAAACTATTTTCAATCACCAATACATTAGACTTCTTTTCAACTTCACTTGCTTTGAAGCAACAACATGGACCATAATATAAGACTATTCCATGAGTTTATTCTTCTCTTATACTACTCTACAATGAACATGAAGAGATCACCCCTTTCAAAGGTTTCTTCTTTCTTCTACCATACCAAATATTGATCACATTCAACCATCTAATACAACCAAAATCCTATATTCTTAATTCTTCTTCTAAAACTTCCAATGATGTACATTTCCAAAATCTCGTGTGAAAATGTACTTCATTGTTGTGTCTTTGTTTGCATATTTTAAGTTATAAAGTTGTCAAGATGCAGTATAAGAAAGAAAAGACATTTCAAGTGTAGAATTCCTAGACCTCCAAAGAGACAAACAAGAGAGAAATGAGATAGTAGAGCTCTCTCTTTAGTCTGCACATAAAGCCACCAAACAAAGGTCCAATGTTAGAATTCCTAACAGCTTATAAAGTAGCTCCAACAATTACTTAGAGCCACATAGTTTCAAGCAACTCCTATAAATGCCTCAAGTCACATAGTTTTTGGCAATTCCAATGACTGCTTAGAGCTACATAGTTTTGAGTAGTTTCAATGATTGCCTGAAGCCACATAGGGTTGGGTAGACTAGTGATTGTATGTAGCTGCATAGTTTTGGGCATTTCTTATGACTGTCCAAAGCCACATTGTTTTGGATAGCTTGTAAGTAGAATTGGTGAGTTGGTTTGCTTTTCATTGATATAGCACAAAGTGCATATTGCAAGGAATTTGAGTGTGAGAGGTTAAATGTAAAGATACAAACAAGTAGTATGACAAGTATTTTATATTGGATAGAAGTTGGGGAGGTATAGGAGGTGAATTGTGAAGAAAAATTAGCAAGAGAGAGATGCCAACAAGAAATATTTTTAAGAATGATAAATGATAAAAATTATTTAATAATTATTTTGGTAGAAGCAATAATTTTGTTTTGTTGACATTGAATCAATTTAAGATTTATGTAGGTTGATTTAATATTCTTATATATATATATATATATATATATATAGATTATTTAATCAAATTTTATAGTAAGTGGTTATATTTAAGATGGTGTCATATTGGTTTTCAACAATATTTATTTGAATTAGTGGTATATATTATGTTAGATATTATTTATAAATAATACTCTTAATTCTTTATAAATTTAAAATTTATAGTATAAAATTTTATTGTTAAAAGCTAAATAATATTAGAAGATAATTATACATATATATATATATATATATATATATATTATGCTCTCTTTCAAAATTCAATTTCCATATTAGAATAAATATCCTTTGAAGAACTTCATAAATAAAGTTTGATAAATTCTTTTAATTCTTATATTATTGTTAAACATGAAATAATTCTTTTTTTTCAAAAGTTCATCCATTATACAAACTTCAAAGAAAGATTGAAAAATTTAACCAATTTTATATATATATATATATATATATATATATATATATGATAATTAATAAAAAATTATATAAATTACTAAATATAAAATTAGTAAGTATTTACAATTTTCTTCAAATGTAAACTTTCTAAAACAGTCAAGGTAAGTTACATTGGATATTATAAATCATTAAAAAGTAAACACTTTTTTTATAAATAAAATAAAGAATGCTTTATTTTTTTCAAAGACACGACTTTCTTAGCCAAGCCATTCCATTTCCTTTTGTACACTTCTGATGTTCCCTACAAAATGTACCCACAACTTCAAGCCAAAACAAACCTTTGTAACTTTGACTCTACCACACTACAAGTTCTATTCTATTCATTATAACATCGCAACTAGTCCTCTTCTTCTTCTTCCTTTTTCTTTGTTTATGTGTTTTTTGCCATGAGCTTAAGAGAGCTTCAAGAGCACTTGGAGCCAAAGAGCTTCCAGATTTTCTCGGATGCAACTTGGTCTCACAAGAAATCTAGGTCTTTCTTCTGCGATTGTTCATCTGTTGTGTGGATTTAGCAAGGCAAGCTACAATATCAGGCTTGAGATTGACAAGGAGACGTTTAGGTCGGCACAGTACTTGCCGCAAGCAATTTTAGGTTAGTTTATGAAACAGTACAACCATATTCAACTTACAATGGACAATGAACGTTTTTAAACAACAATCAACTCACATAAACGCTTCTGACCGCCCGTACCTTACATTTATACAGACAATTTGTACAGATGAAGCACTCTTTCATGCTTGAAATTTACCAGTGGCACAGCTGGTCAAAGACTCTTGATTTACTCGAAGAAGGAACTGCCGTGCATCTGTGTGGGTTGCACCTCCACAATAGGACCAAGAATGTGGATGTGGGATAATAAGCTTGGATAGTAATAAAAAGAAGGCGATCTTCTAGTGGGATAAACATACTGCATACCACCACTAGTAGAAAATTTGTTCACCACCTTCTCAGGTGCATTTAAGCCGGGCTTGAGCGATCTGCGAGGAAACAGTCTTCCTCAGCCTCTTTTCGTCGTGCACTTATCAGTTGATCGAAAGTACCAGAGTTCTCAGGTCGGAGGCAGCGAGTTGATCCATATTCTCGATATTCACCTACTGAGTATCTTCTCGAATCTTCCATGTTTGACCAAACGTTAGGTGCAGCCGAGGATCCATTGGTTATTCCAACACCACCATCAACTACATAATTTGCCTCGACATTGTGATTCTCACCTCCAGTGTACCTGCTCAAACTGAACAAATGGACCTTTTCAGACAGGGATATGCAAAAACTGAATTAGTTTCGTTCCTGTGATTTTGGTTGTCCTACAGTCTAATGTTTCTTCACATTCTATTCCCCAGTCATCTCTACAGATAGGACATTTAAAGCCATTAAACTTCACAATTGCAGCATTATTCTCAATCTACGTGAACTAAATCTAATATCGCCAGTAATAAATATAATCAAAAGAGTAGGAGAAAACACATTGGTTGCAGTACAAGTGAGCTAGTCTTCTGGAGGCAAATGTTCGAACCTGGGCTCATATAGGTTTAAAATTGACGTTCTTCTGGCCCCGGGATTCTGAATACTAAGCTTCGCTAATTGTAAAGCTTTGAGCAAATCGTTCACTTTGCTTGCAGTCCTTTCACTTTTACTTGATGGTCGCCTTTGGAAATTCTCTCCTGAAAATTCCTGACCATAATCAGCTACGCTTAGAGACTTATCCATCATATATTCAGCTTGGTAATGGATTGACCGTGCTGAGCCTCCATGCACCTGCGAAAAGTATCATGTCAGAATTAAGAGCAAATCAAAGTGTAAAGATAGAGAAGAATACATGCAATGAAAACGCGAACGAGGCAAATGCTTCCAGGATAGAGCCGTGCACACGAAGTTGAAAACATGAAATGGCATGCTTCCCTCCTACACCCTGAATAGCAAGAACCTTGAACAAGGTAGAAATCAGTCCCATCCACCTAACTCTGAGGAACACATTTTTTCAGCGAGTAAGCAGTTATATAGAGATGAAGCATGAAGACGACGTATCAGGTAATAATATATGTTCACAAAATAAGGTAAAGGTTGTCGATGATGGAAGGACCTGGAAGGGCGTTTGTGAGCCCGATCTTGATATAATGATTCCTGAATCAGCCGAGTCCGCTACGTGTGCATAAGGTAAAATGTCATACCCCTCAGGATCAGACAATGACCTCCAAGAACCCTCAAGCCCTTCCATACTCCTTGAAACGCTTTCCATTCGTCCACGGTAAACTTCTCGCTCGTCATTTCTCAGAGGATAGTTGCATGGTACTTCTGGCCTTATGTATGCGTTGTTATTGCCAACCTGTGAACAAGTCGCCAATTTCCCAAGTTGTTGATGACGATCCATGATAGATACGTCCCATTGAGACGAACTATTTCCTTTGTTAGTTGACATCTCAAATATGTGAGGTTCTTCCTGCTTTACCCAACCAGCGAGAGATCGTGATCTAGAAGGCTCTACACTTTCTGTGTTGATTCTTCCAGAATGGCCTGGAGGGCTCTCATGTCTTTCTTCCAGGCTTGCACTTGGACAGTGGTAGTGGTTACTCTGCTCCAGAAATTGTGACCTGTCCACCTGGCTGTTCGTAATATCGCAATTGTTCTCCCCTCCACTCGTTACTGATGATGATGATCCGAGATGAGTAGTTGTAATATAGGAAGGATTCGGTGGCCTCTCCATTCCAAATTGTGTATGATGAAGCATAGAGTTTTTGGTTCCGTGATTCCCACCACTATTAGTTCCTTCTTCACCTGATCGTCCCTCCATCTCTTCAACTGTTGGAGGATCTAGATAAATGGAAGGAGAAGCGTTCTGAGAATAATAACTTACCACTTTACCGTTTTCTCCTCCAGCCAACAAGTTATGTTCTCTTGTGCCATGGTGTGGTGAAATCGGAGAGGCCGTAATGTGACGATAATATCTAGGATCGTGAAGCTGAGGCAAAGTCCTTGGAGATTGTTCCTGTTGAGTTTCTTGTTGATACTCTCTTGGATGAGGGGTTCCTGGACTGCTATTTGTCTTACTCATGGAGGCTTCCCCGCTACCCCTCCTGCTTGTCTGCAACGCAGAATTATGTTGCACTATTTGTCAAGCACAGATTTACCTCATAATTAATCAGTGATAAAGCAGGCGAGGTTTCCGTTAAGTACTCCGTAATAGATTCTAAAAGTAGAACTTTTGATAGGAATCACGATATCATGAGATCATGAACTTTGATTTTCATCAGAAAGAAGAACACACCGAGTTCTGCTGAATGTAGTTCTGATCCCATTCTCGCTGGATATTTTCCTGGGCTTCGAATCGCTCAATCAACGTGGCAACCTTTTTCAACTCCTTTGCCTGTAATTTACTAAATTGGGCTTCATCCAATGAATGATCTTCCCCTGCATCTAGGACGGTTCCACCAAAATTTCGTCAAATAACTGATATTGAGAAACATTCTCCAATTTTTAAGTCATCTAGCTTAATTTAAAAGATTCTTTTCATGAAAGGGGTTTGTTGAAGGTCACAGTCGATCGCTACCTTCTTTTCTGGTAGTACTGGTGCCAATTGTTGTTGGCGAGGCATTCACATCCTTCAACTGCTCTTTCCCCGTGTTTGCATCATTCAACAGTTTCTTATCCTCTGAGAAGCCAAGCGGACGTCAGTTAAGACCTCTCTCTTGAATAGCACCACCTTCTTTCACGCCACCAAAAAAGGCAGGAGTGATACAATCACCATAAGCCAGAGGTTGTCGTGCAAAGGGACCATTACATGAAGCTGGCATATACGTTTCTGGGGGATCTACCAAATCGTAAGAGGGTTGAATATAACCGTAATCTTTTAATAAGTTTTTCTCATGATTGTTTGCTGATCGATTCATCTCGAAATAGAATGTGGCTACGATGTTCAGGATGCGGTACGATATGCGCTAGATGTAGAAAAGACTACCTCAAAGACTTCATTGCAAACAATTATTTTATTCATTCTTGACAGCCTACCAATTTTATTAATACAAATATCAATATCTGCGGGAGTTTCACACCTATGCTAGAACTCAAAAATAATGACTTACTTATACCAGATAGTTTTGGAAGGACATCCTGCAGCACACTTGGAACTTGGCCCATCCAGGTAAAAAGTTCTTCACGAACAACCTCCTCTTGATTCTTGTCTTCAGCAAGAGCGGCCATTTCCTGTGTCATCTGATCCCACATGTTGCGCAGCCGCAGTTCTACTATTAACCTGTTGAAAAAAGACCACATATTTGGAAGTGAAGATGGGGAATTATAATTCCAAAGACATGGTGAAACGTTGCACTCTGTCGAGGTCTTTTCAATACGGAGTTTAAAAGTAGTGTGTCCTATTCTAGGCTGATCTTATCATGCCATTAAGTACAATTTTGTTTCCATTGAAGCATTAAACGTTGAAGCTAATCCAAATATCCAGTGGCATCAGTACTTCATATTACTAGAAATTAACGAAAATTCATTATTCAAGTATTCAAAAGGGATAACCTTCTATCTTGTCGTCTAATCCCTGAGTCAGCACAACCAACTGTGCCGTCAGTTGCAGATATCACTCCCGGTGCAACACGAGTCTCTTCTTTGACTTTCTTTGAATCATTACTTCCCGACCTTTGAAGTGTCTGAAGCTCACCATTCTCCTGCTTGGGCATTGAAGTTATGTTCTCACTTGTCACCTGATCGTTGACATATCCAATTTCCAGAGTTGATGACGGAATGTCGCTTAGCTTCAAAGCCACACAACCACATGGCTTGGCGTCATCCACGCAATTTTCAATCACTTGGATTTCTCCCTCAACCCAATTTGCTGACTCTTTATCTATATTTTTAGAATTATTTTCCTCGTAAGGGGTCACTAGTTCATCCTTCTCTGGCAATAGCATATTCTTAGCTGTCTCGCAGGTGTGGCTTGGTTCCATCGATTTCTCCAGTAAGTTAGTATCACATTCCGTGTACTTCGAGCTCTCCGTAGGTGCTCGTTCCCCTGTTACTCGTGTAGAGAAAAGGCTAATTATGAGAAATAAAGTACTTGAGCATTATCAACCTGGATGCAACGACAATAGATGTGATAAACAGGTACCTCTTGGAATTAAAACAACGTGAACCACAAATGGGATGACCACTGACCTAGTGATTGGATTTCTAAGAGAGCTTCTTGAGCTGCTTCCTCAGCCTTCTTTTTGAGCTGAATTTCTTGATCCAATTTTCTTTCCAGATCAAGCACCTAAAACACCAATAGATACCTCTTCATAACAATGGCCTATTTCATGTTACCCTCACACATTTGTCATGGTTAATGTGTAACCTCTAATTTATTATTAGTAATACAACATGAGACGCAGATACAGTGGCGTTTGTACAGACGTGGTCATATATTCCTACTTCCATCGAGGATTAGGTTATCCAAGAGCATATATATTGTTCGATTATTGAGCAGTTAATAAAAATTTATTACCTTTTTTGTAAGAAGCTCAATCCGATCTTTTGCGGCTTTTGAGGAAGCGCGCTCTGCTAAAAGTCTTGCCCTCAGGAAGTCAACTGTTATGACTGGCGATTCATCTCCTGTATGGGGCTTCCTGCAGGATGCATAAGAATAAGCTTTTAAGTCGCAACATAGATTAGAATCGTGTGTAATGAAAGATCGGCAACCTCCAAGTACAGTGGATGAAGAGCAAAACTGCAATCAAGCAGGAAATGTATACAACGTAAGAAAATTGATGTTGAATTTCTAATAAAGTTTCAATGAGGATCGTACTACCTGTCTAACCCTGAAACATCTGTATTACATTGGTCATTTGCATGCTCTGCGTTGAGAGGTGGTACTTCCTTGCGGTTTGTAGGCCGCTCATCAATACATCCATTTGTTTTCAAGGGGGAGGGTTTCATATCCGTAGATTTTTCTTTGACATGATTAATTGTCTCCTGCTGATTTCCTGCTGCTTTCCAGGTTGCACCGCCCATGTGCCTACTGGAATTCCCTTTGAAAGAGGTCTTCGCAGCTTGTGTTGGCACCACAGACTCTGAAGTGTTTGAAGATACCAAAGGTCTTATAGCTTCTTCTTGCGAAGTGGCATGATTAGTAATCGATGTGTCAGCTTTGTTGGATATTTTAATACCATTCACTTCTGATGTTAACACTATTTTCGTCTTGTTTTGCTCCTTCTTGATGTCATTAACAAACTTGGAATCCTTCATCTCCTCTTTCCCCGCCTCGTTATTTTTGATCTCCTCCTGAAGCTTTTTTCTCTCATTTTCTAAACGTTTCGATGATTTCCATCTTAATGGCGTCACAGGGTTTAGAGGGGCCACGATTGACTCTCTAGTTGAAGATTTGAGAGCGACCAATCCCCCGTCCCGTTCCAGCTCATCAGATGTTCTAGACCCTCTGAAGAAATACAAAATTAGAGAAGTAAACATCAATAAAAAATAATTATAAAAATGTTTTCAATGTATGTGAGCACATTAACGAGAATACAAAATTTTGATACGGACAAGTTCATAATTTGAACCTCATACGAGTTTTTAAAGTTTTTAAAAGCTTATTAATAGGCAATCGTGTTCATAAAAGAGAACTTCTTCAGTATGCCAAGACTGACCATCAAATGAGAAAAACAAAGCCTTGCATTGCAGTTCTAGAGTACATACAAATGCATTGTGATTCTAGTGGCTGACATGTGGAATCGCAACACACCAAAATGAGTAAAGAAACAAGGTCTAGTTCGTTATTCGAATCATGCACAAAGAGTTTAAGTGGAATGGATTCCAAGTGTAACTAAACAATCTTGCAAATTAGCAACTTCAGATGCACGATCTTCTCAGACAAAAGTTAGATTAGGAGGATAATAGTAACATCCATTCACTACAAAATCACCAAGCGTTCACAGAAATCGTGATGACATTCTTCGTCTCACGAATGAATTCTGAACGATTTATTGTTATGTTACGAAAAAAATGTGGTTGTCTACCAGCATTCAGCAAGAATACGCTACGACATGCAGACATGCAGACATCCTTCAGAAATTTTTCTGATCGTAGGTTCACTGTCGCAAATCTCATCGTTACAGAAAACACTACATGACATAATCTCACTGGACGTGTTAGAGCCGACAGCAATCAGGTTGTCCCCTGTATCTACGCGTTCCTACAAGCAGTAGGCCATTCACTTCATGTACTAGTTCTTTAGAATGTTCCAGCAGTAGTCTCGTCATACGTAGTCACTATATTCCCCTCCCATTGATACAGACCCAACTTGTTTCTTCATTATACCATAAATTAAGGGAAAATCGCAACAGTATTGAACAAAGAAATATCTTTCCTCGTCTTTGACAGTTGTGAAGAAAGCAGACCTCATGGAATACAGTGTGGAAGGAGAGCGCTTCTCCTCCATGTCCTTGTCGCAGATTGGAGACTTGGACTGAACGCCGTCGTTTGCGACTACTTGACGACAAGTCAAACCATTCGAGACGGGATTCCTCATCGTAAATCGCGGCAGAAACACAACTTTCTCCCTTGTGGCCTTCTTCAGTACTCTCATAGAAAACACTTAGCCCTCCACAGACAAACGTATTTGTAATTTTCAAATCTTCACAGGTGTCAAAACGGTGTGAACGCAATCTTCTCAAGTGAGCCTGATAGAGTTCGAGCTGAAATCCCAACACAAAAATGCGAAAAAGATGTTCCTGCAACACCACGAACTGCCATCGCAAACAAATCAAATCATTTCTCAAAAGGTGTATTTAGTGTCTCCGTAGTCCTCAAAAGCATAACGTGTAGCAGAGTAATTCGAGAGAATTCGATTGTAGTTGTAGTAGTATTTTGAAGAAAAGAAGGCACTCCAAGGGTGTACAGACTAATCTATCCCGGACGACAACAACCTCACTACTGTCGAAGGTTTCAGACGCTCTTCGAAGAAAATCAACGTAATTCACAATCCTTCGCAAGCAACCCACGCGCAACCCTACCTCTCCAAGCCTCGCGGATTTGCAACTACCCTAAATTAGAACAGTCCAACACCCCAGGTCACAGCACCGAGGATTCACATTGCGTTTTTTGATATAACTTATCTCTGGAATCATCATTTCAGAATACATTCTTTCAGTGCATCATTCGTACCAAGAGTGTCTCAGTGTGGACTGACTGCCAGAGAAATGTGTTGATTGGAAATAATTCCTGACGTCGTAAGTTGCAAACACGTACCGAGAACACACGAATACATTTTCTGTTGCTCAAACTTCTCACTCATGCAACTGTCTGAATTGCTCACGAATCGCCAACATAGCAACCCTTTCCGCGGGAACCTTAGGCTCATTGTTGAGCTCAAGTATTGGCTCCTAAAGCTCCTAACAGCAGAACCCTGAAGATGTAATCTTTTTGCTAAAGCTCAAGTGTCCTCTGTTAGCTCTGCTTCACTCTCTGATCTCTGAATGCCAAGGAGCCAATGCGAGAACGTAGTCCGACACTTCACCAGTTTGTTACTCTTCACTCCAACATTACTTGTCACTATCTTGAGAACTACTCTCGCAAGCCTCAGTCCGATTCTACTGCACCTAAATCACTCTCAGACTAACTCCTGTTCAAAACTCTCTATCTCTCGGTTATCACTAACCTTCTCAAAACTTCAGATGTCATCTATTATACTTTTCCTATGGCTCTGCAGTTCTTAATGCAACGCGATGGCCTTCATCCTCACCAACATGATCAGTCGCAGAATGGAAAAAAAAATCCTCGACTCTCGTTTAGGCAACCACCTACTCGACTCCAATCACTTGCATGCCATTACCTGATTCTCTAGACTCCAAAATATCACACTGATATTTGTCAAATACTCGACTCCTCACGACACCAAACGTCGTTCTCATCCTCCCTTCGCTAATACATCATTACCGAGCTTCACCTCTCGATTCTACACTCCTGTCCCAGTCTCACGACTCACCTAGTTCTCAATTATTATTCTGCCTGTGTCCACTGTGACGGTGCATCTCCAGCTACTTAGTTAGCCCTTCCTTCTGACAGGACAGCGTTGGAATTGTAGCGGATGAAGACATATGGATGAAAATCATTCGTCCTTTTATTTGTATCCATGTTGGTTTTGGGGACATATTCTAGGGTTATGCTTTCTAGACATGGCATGTCAAAATGCCTTTGTTTGGATTTTGGGGGCTAGAGAGGAATAGGTGTTAAGCTTGTACTACTGTAATTTTTTTCTTATTCATCAATAAGTGGATGTTGGGTAATTTTAACAATTTTTTCATGTGCGTATGTCTTCTTTTAAAATTTATAATTTAGGACTTAAGGCGGAGGGCCTTTGGATAGGGTAAGGCAAAGTGGAGATAGCCAAGGAGGAGGGCTATTAAAACATTATGTAGCATAATTGATCATATACCATACATTGGTTGGAATTAAATCTAAAACCACCATGATTCTATTATAAACCTCCAAGCTACTAAACTCTTTGTTTAGATTGATGAACTTAAGTTCTACAATATAAGAATAAGAAATCAAATATAAATTAAATGATTGAAGACAATAACATTTTTTAGAGATCAATAGAAGATAAAATTTGGAAACAACTAGGGATTAGCTACAATTTTTGAAACATGTAAGAAAATAATAATAATAATAATAATAAACATAAATGGATAGAAAAATACTAGAATCAGCAAAGACAATGTATATAAATGGAACAGTTAAATTACGTCTTATAAAATTATTCTCTATGATCTTCAAAATCTATAAGCACAACTACTTAATAAAACTTATTATATATTATGTTATGCACCTTTATTTATACAAATCTATAGATATAAAGATGTTATATATTTATTTTTATTTTTTTCATTTTATGTTTTTTTCCTTCTTTTTTCTAGAGAGCAAGGTTGCAAAGGAATAGATACTTAATTTCTACTATAGTAAATAAAGTTTTTTCATCTATATATGTATGTTAAGTAATTTTTGATTTAATTTAATTTATCTATCTTTATTATATTTTACCTATCCAAGAAACTTGGATCTTACACCAAAGAGAGCAAAGACAAGGAGACAAATAAAAGAGAGCTAAAACAAAGTAATAGCACAAAAAATGGATCAAAACTTAAATCCAAAATGAGAAAGTCAATCAATGTTGTACTATAACATAGTTATTGTATAAAAATAAATAAATAAATAAATAAATAAATAACAAGACATATATTATAGAAGAGCTTAACTAAAGACTTAGTCTTTGTAGGGCCTTAAAGATTAGCAAAATTAAGTCTATAAATATCTTTACGTAAAAGTCAAGGATGATTTCTAAAAAATATTACTTAAAAAAATCTTAAATTAATATCTAAGAAAGATCATTTGTGAACCTAGATTGAAATCAAATCCCAAGGCACAAAACCACGTGTATATGACATTTATAAGGTTTGTTGATCAATCAAAGATTAAGATTGGAGATTAAATATTTTTATGTATTAGTTTTTGGCAATTTAGATTTGTAATAAATCTATGAGAGTTATAAAGTTTTTTAATTAGATTTAAGTGACTTTATTTTAGAGAAATAAAGAAAGGTTTATAATTTAGAGAATTTTATGAGTTTTGTGGTAAATCTATAAGTAAAAAATTAAAAGTTTGGAAAAAAAAATTATATTGAATTTATGATTTAAATTTTAGGTCAATTAGGTGGTTAAATTAAGGTTTTTTTTAGAATTGATTATGGTTGATTAGAATCTTTTTTTTAATTAAGAATTTTATTAGAATTTGATAGAATTCAAGTAGATTTATTTAAAACTTTAATAGAGTTTGTTAGGATTCAATTAAGATTAATCAAAGATTTAATTTAGATTTTGTCACAATTTAATTAGAACTTATTAGGATTTAATTAAGTTTTATTTAGGATTTTTTTAAAGTTTATGGATATATTTTAGGATTTAGTAATGATTAATTAGGATTTATTTCGAATTACTTAGAGTTTATTAAGTTGTATTTAAGATTTCTCTTAGGCAAATAACATGTATTTAGGATATTTTGAAACTTGTGTAGATTATTTAAGATTGCAAACAAGGTATTTTTAAATACATTATACATTGATTTTTGATTGTAAATCCAACTACAATTGTCTAAACCTTCCACAATTAGATGCCCAATATATTCTCAAATTAAATTCACATTATACAACATTGTGGTGGATACTAGAATTTAACTTAAGACTTATCTGAAGTAGATGAAACCTTTACCCATGAGCACTAGCCTTTCAAGTTGATGACTTTGAATTAGAATTCCACAATATTTATACTAATCTGGACAAAATTTAGAGTAGTACCTTGAATGGATGGATTTTGCAAAGATGAAGCAAGGCACAAGCTTGTATCTGGATTGTATCTCCCAAGAATAGAAAAGAGAGGGAGAAGGGGGGGGGGGGCAAAGGCTGGTGCTTAGATTATTATGTCAAAGCAAAAACTTGTTGATTCTTGCCATCTTAAGTGCAAATTCTCAGTGTCATTTCAGATATTTTAAATGGATGTTTTTTTTGTTTTGCTCATCAAGTAAGAATACCTTATATTTCCTACTCTTTATCAATAAATGGGCCCGAAATAATTTTATGTGCTCTAAGTTTTTATGTTATTTTATTTTTAAAAATATTACATGTTTCATGAAAAATTGAGTGTGGGATTTAAAAGCATGAAAATGAAGCAGTAAATTCAAGATATAAGCAAGAACAGTAGGATAAAACATTGATTGCAGGAGTCAAATGGTCAGCTGGACTAGAACACAAGGTCCAATTCTGTGCTGAGAAGCCAATAGTTTTAGAAAAACTTTAATTTTTTGCCATTTGTTGACATGCTAACGTTTCATATTTAACAACTCTGAACCATTACATGTGGAAAGAGTGTTAGTCTAAAGAAAAAAAATACTAAAACTAATCTTTGATGTAAAGAGGAAAATTACTAAAAATATGAATTTTATGTTAAATTGAAGAAAAGCCTGTCTTTGGAGGTTGTATAAATCTTTAAGAAGAATGATTAGTGCCTTGCATATCTCTGTGAAAAAGAAACAGTCCAACTTTTTGTTAGTGATGTGAGCAATGAACAACTATTTTTATTAAACATACTAAATATTTATACTTGTTTGTTTGTTCATTTTTTTCATTTTGAAAATATCATGTTTTATTTGTTTTTCTCATGCAAACACTGGTTCATCCTATCTTCATATAAGTTCTCACCTGCATACTTATCATTGTTTGGTTTCCAAACGTGGAAAAAAAATATTATTACTAATTTTTTTTTCTAATCTGAATTCAGATTCAAACGATTTTATTCTGGTGAACAATGGTGAATAAAACTTTAACTAGCATTTACTCACAACACCTTTTTCATTATCTTTTGTCTTGTAACCTCAATTTAAAATTTTATCTTATGTTAGAAAATAAACTACTATCCACGAATTTAAAACCTTCAAGCATTGTAAAAGTGTATTGTAAATTGTGAATTAATTATCATCAAATTTTATTGTTCAGACTAAGGATAGTAGTTGTACCTTAACAATATGACCTTTTAATACATACATACATACATACATTCATAATTCACTCTGTAATAGTTTTTAAAATAAATAAATAAATAAATTGTGAACCTCTTGTAGTTTCTTTTCTCCTTTCTTTCTATATTAAAAAAAAAAAAAAAAACAAAAAAAAACAAAAACAAAAACAAAACACACACACACACACAGAACATCTTTACATAAGGATGCCATATCAAAAGTCTGTTTGAATCAAGTGCTAGAATTGCATTTTGGGTGCAAGATAACTCAAATTTTTTGACAAAATTGGTAAAGCTTTCATCACCAAAAGCAAAGTCAACAACCCTATGGACTTTTGTAACATCATTTATGTAAATTATGTTAAAAAAGATGCAGGATCAGGAAACTGTGCCATGACTTAGCAGCGCCATGGCATGAAGTCTCAATAGGAGCACTACCTGCAAATCTGAGAAAGAAAGCAAAAAAAAATCAATAAAATCAATAAAAATAAACACAACAAATCAAAGTTTTGTGAGCTTCAAATCCACTGCCACTGTAGACACCAATGCAAGTCATATCCAGAGGGGTCAGTCTACGGCATTGAATTGGCTGTGCATTTTGATGGCCTTGAGAGTGTCAGAAAAGGAGCTCAGAGAGCCCCTGTAAACAGTAGTTGGCTGTGCTCTGCACAGAATCCTTTACCAGTTCAAAGCCCAAGGTTTGTTCAACCTTTATCTCCCTCATAATGCCAGCCCTGCATTCCCTCTTTTGCTTTGTACCCGATTCCTGCTTCTCACACTTTGTGTTGGAATACAGTTGAGCTGCCTCCCTCATCACCTCAAAAAAATGTTCTAAACCTTCATGTTGTTCCACTTAGGTCTGTGGTACAGCATTCATGCTTCCTTCTTTTGACAAAGACATTAGAGTAGCTGGATCTGAAACACAGGAGATAGAAGAAAGAAGAAGAATAAAAAAACACAGGCACTACTAGGGGTCTAAGTACAGTAAGTGAGGTTTCACACAGTTTAGAAGTGTGTGTTTCAGTAGAGATGTGGGTTTTGCTAGAGATGGAAACAAACAAACTTTGCAAACAAAGCCTGAGTGATTTCAAGACTTTCCATCAAGTTTGTCTCTAGGTTGTGACAGTGTGTGTATTATTGCCCATATCCCTAGCTGTAGATTATATATTCACATCATGTCCTTGGGATGTGCTCTCTGTTCTACAGTGAAGTGAAAGATTTATTTGTACCTGTGACAGGTTTTGTTGTTTGGCAAGCTGGTTTTTAGATTATAGGTTAGGCTTGTCAGATCTACAGTGGTACATATAGCTCTTGTAGGATGACATGAAGTGGAAGTAGTCAAAGAATGGAATAGATAGAATATGCCTTGAATGAGATACAATGTGGCATGAATAAAAGAAGAAGAATCAACAAGTTGAGGATATCAAATT